TATATATATATATATATATATATATATATATATATATATATATATATATATATATATATATATATATATATATATATATATATATATATATATATATATATATATATATATATATATATATATATATATATATATATATATATATATATATATATATATATATATATATATATGTATGTATGTATGTATATATGTATATATATATATATATGTATATATATGTATATATATATATATATATATATATATATATATATATAAAAGTATATATGAGTAAATATAAGGAGCATGCTACGTGTATCTCAAAATTTGTACTATATGCACCAACATTTTGATGGTTCACAGACACAAAGTATTGGTGCGTTAATAAAAATTTACACAGACACAAAATGTTGGCGCGTTAACAAAAATTAACATTACACCAACACAAAATGTTGGTGTATCCATGCGGTGTACAAAATGGGGTACAAATAACATTGCCCTACATATAAATGTGTACAAAATGTATGTGTGGAGAGTGAATGGCCACTTCTCACTTGAGATTCCAATGGCCCACCAAAGCAAACACAAATGAAAGTTTGGGTGTATTTTAGTGTGGGAGTTAAGTGTTGATTAGGAGTACCATATCAACAAAGACACCAGATGAATACAATCCCGTATGGCCGTATTTAATGGATTTTTGTCCTCTGTCTCTGATTTTGGCAAACAATGCTCGTGTTTTAGTCACCAAATTGTCCCTTCACAAACGGTTATAATTCAACACAAGTCTTCAAATCCATTTCTTTGTTCACTCATTGTTGTTTTTTTAAAAATATGGAATACTACCTCCGTCCCAGAGTATTTGTTTACTTTTATTTTTACACACCATCCAAAACACTTCTTTAATCCATTTTATCTTGTAATTTGTATATTAAAAAATTATAGAAATTATATATTAATAATCAATATGTTAAGACAAATCAAATAAGATCACACATGACTATATTTAGGCGTACACATTGAGAGAATTTGATGAGTCAAAGTGCTTAGATGAACAATTCCAAAAGTCAAAACCGGACGAATACTCCGGGACGGAGGGAGTAGTTGCTTATATGTTCATTCGTTGACCTTACTCGATCGAAGTTTTTTAAACTTTGTGTTATCATATAAATTTTGTTAAAAGATCGAATTGTACGAGTTGCAATGAACGGGCGGACGTATAGCCCCGAGAGTAATGCAAAGTATTCCGAATTTATAGACTGCGAGGACGGTCGGAGGGATTGGAAAGGGGGCATGGCCACCGGACAAATTAGACCACTAGAAGTCTAGAACTAGATAGCTAGGCCACTTGAAGAGTGAAAATAAAACCAAAGAGGAGAGGCTCCGTGCATAGGAAAGAGTGGGAGTTTTGATTTTCGAATCGGCAGTATTAGCGCGATATATACTGTGTAACTGGTTGTACGATTCTTCTCGTATATCTATGGCTTCATTTACGAGTAACAGAATACTCATTTTTGAACAACTGATTAATTATTTTCGAGTACTTATTTTGGAGTAACTGAATGCTCATTTTTCTAACATTTAGCTATGCCCGAAAATGTGTATTCAGTTTCTCAAAAGTAAGCATTCAATTAATCGCCATATATCCCGATGTATGATATAGGTACTCACCGTATTGGTGAACCATTAGTGATCGGTTAATGATCATTCGTGGTCTGCTATATTGTGTATCCAGTCAAATTTTATCATTTTGATTGTGGCTTAACACTATATTTGTTCAATCTATAGGAAAATAAAGTAATTTAAACATTACGTAAAATTAGTAGATGGTTGGTCCAAAAAGCGTACACTATGACAATTTGCTTGGGGCCTAGCAAAACAGATCGATCAAATAGGTTGCTGAGAGGATGCTATATCATCTTCACAGAATCGATTGAAATACAGAGTACTTTAACATCTTGTCCATCACACGCACACACATAAGCAGATGATGCAGAGGGTGTTACAGTAGTTACTGGGCAGAATTTTGTGAACATTAAATGCAAAGAAAAACACTGCATATGTTTACGTAGTTCGGGGAACTCTCATACTCTGTGAGGCCCAGCCCGTGTAATAGCCCTCCACTAAATCACTAGATGCAAGTTACACCAGTACTTAACAAGGACAAACGTGTTGACAGTTGTGTCCTTAAGCTCATGTTCAACTTCTGGATTTTAGGAGATCTCCTTCTTCATGGGGATCGCAACTTCTTCGCGCAAAGATCGCTCTGGGACGTGACGGAAACACCTTTAGATCAACATGTATTTTGTGTTTTTCCCTCACAATCACTCCAAAGAATCCGGCCTTGACCTCTGTTTCACACACACACACATATAGTCATCTTCAAACTCAATATGTAATTAGATGCTGTCTTGAATAAAACCTCTTTAATATTTATCTCCAAGAAGTTGGATTATGACTCCTTATAACAATTGGCCATTAATAGAGACCGAGTGAATCACAGAAAATGTTAACTCCCAATAGTAATCTAACTCTGAAAATTGCTAATTGCAACTTTATTATTCATATAGGCTTTGATGATCATGTTACATTGCGTTGTAGTATCTTCTATGTCATCTTCGCCAAAAAAACAAGCTCTAAAAAGCTAAAATAAACTCTTTCCTAACAAATAGAGATTTCTACTTAGCTAGTAAAACTCCTAAAAATATAAATTTCTATTTTGTCAAAAAATTAACCAACACTTTGAAAGTAACAATTATTACTGTAATCATCATCAATTCATCATTGTACATTTAGAAAAAAATATACTAATACTAACAGTAGTGTAAAGTTTATAGACTGTTTAACCGCATGTCAAGATAGACTAAAAGAGAGGAATATATTATTATCTTAACACCACGCTTATTATGGGCACGCACGTTTCACCCTTTACCAAAAATGCCTAAAACAAATCATTTTACATGTGATTAAAGTAGAAGGATTTGATATGCATAGATAAAATGGACAATAGCTAAAGCGAAGCTCATTTTAGATTCTTCATTTGGAGCATAGACAAGACAAATCACTTTCTTCAAATTCTAAACTTATTTGTTTCACTTTACATACAAACATATCGAAGGTGTGAATTATCACCTGGGTAAACTACTCTAGACCGGTTCTAGGGTGGTTTGTTGAGTTTAGATACTAAAAAGATTCAAGAAAAGAAGATTGACCGGGAAGACGGTAGGTCGGAACACTTGAAGTCCAATTGTTATTAAGTATAAGGAGAGTACAGTGAAGAATTATACAATATGCTCTAGAAAGATAGAATGCAGCTCCCTTATACTAAGGGTTATAAGCATATTTATAGTGAACCTAGGGGGCAGGGTGGGAGGCACCCATGCTTGGCCACGTGCCAATCACGTGACGAGGTGATGGCTTTTTGTCTTCTAGCGTTCGTCTCCTTCCTATGGATGTTATGCTCTGTGGTTGTCTCCTTTGGTGCGTAGTGTTTGCCCAGGTTATTTGAATATATCTGTTGGTGCAAGGGATCTAGTCTGACCAGATCGTTTCCAAACGCTACCTTCCAAGTGTGCCATGGTGTTGGTATGTATACCAGTCTTGATGACGCACCCATGTGATTTCTTCGAGGGGATGCCTTGGTGATCTGAAGATCTTTTCATCAAGACTTGCTTCCTAACCGGTAACGTCATGGGTTCCAATCCATCCGGGTGGATTGAGACACACCCGATTAGATTTGTGCTCACCCCAATTTCCTTTTAACGAGTTATACACGAACCACCCGGTAGGTTCCTGTAGTACCCGACCCGGTTCGAGTCCATGATGGGAATACACCCATCACACACACACACACACTCCGGTAGACATATCACTCATTGCTAACCTTAGTTTAATACCAAAATTGGGTATTTACCCGAATTGAAAGGGTTATGTGAGAAAAACATAAAAAAATTTAAATTTTGAAATATTAAAAGAATAGAATTTTAAATTGAATTATTTAAAATAATAAAATCTTAAAGTGAAACGTAAAAAATATTATTTAAAAATCAAAAATAAATATTATAGTTATACTTGTAAAGGTTAATAATTGTATTATATATTGCTCTCTCCATCCATATTTAAATCACATGTTTCATTTTACGATGTTTGACTGAATTTATTTTCAAATAATTTTATATGAAAAATGGTATAGAATTAAAAAAATAAAAATTACCAGTACATGTTTAAAAACTAATTCAAAAGATTTACAAAACTAATGACATAACTAAATTATTTTATCAAATGACTAACGAAAATAAAAAAAACAAGGTAAATAAAATCTGGTCATATAAATTGTAAACAGATTATTTAATTTGAAATGAAAGTAGTACTCATTAATCACTATAATATCCTATATCCTATATATATATGTAAAGCAAGGTTTATTTCTTGGAGTGTTGACATGTGGCATGCCACATGTGCATCCACATGTGCATTCATTAATGAGATGGATAATTTCATTAGTCCATTTAATTATTTAAAAAAATCTTTTAACGCATTTTATTGTAGTACATTCAATAAATATTATATTTTAGTATTAAAAATATTACTATAATTATACTTTGTATAAAAATGTCATTTTTTTACAATTTTACAAACATATATCATCATTGTAAAATATATTTCGTACTCCGTATTATATATTATATATTTTTTATTATAATGTTTTATTAATGAAAAGTATTTTCATTAGTACTTCATTGAATAATGACCATTAGTTTTGCATATAATTTTTGTTTTTAAATAAACATATCAATATATATTCCACCAGTTTAAAACATACTTTGTTTACATAATTAAATTATATCTATAAAAAAATTTAACTTTATGAATGTTTTGAAAAATAAAGTTTTAATTTATATTATTTTTAAAAATAATAAATCATTTCTCTTTTACTACTTTTAAAGAAAATANTATATTTTAGTATTAAAAATATTACTATAATTATACTTTGTATAAAAATGTCATTTTTTTACAATTTTACAAACATATATCATCATTGTAAAATATATTTCGTACTCCGTATTATATATTATATATTTTTTATTATAATGTTTTATTAATGAAAAGTATTTTCATTAGTACTTCATTGAATAATGACCATTAGTTTTGCATATAATTTTTGTTTTTAAATAAACATATCAATATATATTCCACCAGTTTAAAACATACTTTGTTTACATAATTAAATTATATCTATAAAAAAATTTAACTTTATGAATGTTTTGAAAAATAAAGTTTTAATTTATATTATTTTTAAAAATAATAAATCATTTCTCTTTTACTACTTTTAAAGAAAATAGTAACAACTCTTATACTGTACTTTCGATGGCAAGATGCATGTACCCCTTGTGAAATTAAATCTTTAACCTTCAATTTAAACCGAACAAGACAAAGAGGTCAAACAAATGACAATCTATGGAAAAGGACCAATAACAGAGGTCATATTTTCCTCAACATATTTTTTTTACTTATGGGAAATTTAATTAAATAACAATAAAACATAATGACTTTTCCTAAATAACATCACATATGTTTTTTCCCAATATAGCACTTTTAGTCATTATCCATTAGTCATTATTCAAGTAAATGTTCGCCATCACTGGACATTATGGACACTATTAAGTGCTATTTAGGAAATAAAACAATTTAAGTGCTATTTAGAAAATAAAACAATTTACGAGCTATTTAGAGAAATGAAAGTTTTAGTGCTATATAGTGCAAATATTACTTAAATATAACTACATTTAGATCAGATTAGATCAGAAATAGATTTAAATATAACTACATTCAAATCAGATCAGACCAAATCAGAACTTATTATAATCAGATCAGATCGGGTGAAGAGAACATAGCCTAAAAGGTGACATGCATAACATTTGATAATATAAAAATAAATATGAAAAATTCTCTGTTTCAAAAGATCAATTTTAAAAATTACTCAAAAGAAAACGAGCACAATAATAAAAACTCAAACACACAATAAAACCAAAAGAAATGCATTTTCTTTAGGGCAACGATGAGCAATCATTAAAAAAATTACAAAAATGTGACTAGATGTATGTATACATCTAGATGTAAAATATACTTTGTGCTGTAGCATTTATAGGCTGTTTGCTATATATATAATAAAAGAAAGTTGAGCACAACTTTTGGGTGTCCATAACATAATAAGGTTAGCAATTAAAATACCACCGGTAGACGCTAACACGAGAGCCTACCCTCAATCAACCGGTGAAAGGAAGGACTGAATGCCGAAAACAATGAACAGAAGTCCGCTAGCGAGTCCAATCTGCAGAATTACACAAGAACTTCGATGTCATAGACGAATAAGTGTTTTAAAAATACCCCAACCTAGCCTTGTATAGGGAGTTGGCCACCCATAGCCGTCTTAGATTGCTTAGGCACCAACAAATCTCCACCCAAGTGCGCCTAGGTACTAGGTTGTCGCCAACCGCGTATCACTTTTGGGAGTAAGACCAAAGTAGGACTAAAACATTGAAAATATACCAAAATAGGACTTCTATGTTTTTATTTCCAAAATAGGACTAACATTACCAAACATGGTCATGTACATTACCAAAAAATATAGTAATTATCACAGTGCAAAGTCTTATTTCGGAAAAAAACATGAAAGTCTTATTTTAGTACTTTTCTCTATGTTTTCCTATTTAGGGTGATTTCTATCACTTTTAAGAACACTATGGATGATGATTTGAGAGAAGGTTGAACGTACATAATGATGAGTATCAAAGAAAGGTGGGTAGTTTTCATACCGCTTTCTCAGAGATCTGAGCTGCAAGGCTCTTCCCGCCCAACACGGCAGCAGTAGTACATAATGACTGTCCACTAACAATTACAAATCCACAGAAATTTAGATTAAAGACTGGGAGATTAACTTCAATACTGGATGTGGAGCATGCGCAAATACTATTGGAATTTGTCCACACCTATTGAATTTGCGAAATGTAAGGGCATTGAACTGCTAATCTTATCCGGTAGACCTTTTAAAATAACCATAGTTTATCCAGTTTGTCCATATTCTTTGTACTGCTCATTTATCCTTTTTTTTTTTGTGAAGCTCATTTATCCTATTTATATTCTGACAAGTCAATGACATATCAACTTTGTTGGATCATCAGTCTTTATTAGCAAAAAAAAAGTTTGAAACCCAATATTGTTCTGATTTTGAGGCTAGCATGTCTGTGGGTGTGGCACAAGAATAATATATAGTTCCTTCAAATTGTGGGTCTTTGCTACCCTCTCCGTCCCACTACCTTCGGGACAAGAAGAAGTGGCACACATACATTAAGGATTTTTAAATTCTTTTATTGGTATTGAATATATAAAGTATGGTTAAAGTAAGAATGATTTGGATCCACAAAAAATGACAAGTTTGGAATGGAACAAAGATAGAGGAACATGGACAGAGGGAGTCCATGGAAGAGAAGTATACACTACACTCCATGTTCCTATGTCTAGACTCTAGATTGACCATTTTTCTTTGTTTCTTTTTATATATTTATTTTATTAAATGTATGCACATAAATTATATTTCCGCCAAGCTACACTTCCTTCCTATTCAATTTATCGTTTTCCCACGATAAACTTAAATGATAGTGTCAATTAATGAAGGCATTCTTGAAAAAGTACTAAAAAACTTTGATCAAGGATTGTTTTGATCAAATTAACATTAATTAAGAGCATCCGTAATGGGGGAATATGGGAGAGGAATTGCTTATGTGGCAAGGGGGTGGTTAGAGAGGGAAATATTTGGGGGGGGGATTGAGAGGAGCATAATATTCTCTTGGAGAGAAACAGTTTTATTTCATGAGAGTGCCACATAGGATTTTTTATTCTTTTTGTTTAACGGACAGTTTTATAGCCATTGGATAGTCCTTTTTTCTTGTTTTTTTGTTTATCCATTACAAAAAGCGGACGGTATACATTTTTAAAAATAAATTATACTCCCTCCGTCCATAAAAGAACTTCCCACTTTCTATATTTGGTTGTCCACAAAAAAACTTCCCATTTCCTTTAATGGCAAAATTTTTATCTTAAAAAGACACTACTACCCTTATCACCCTAAACTATTAACCCAGTCTATCCACATTTCTGGTGCAAGTTTCTCTCTCATCCTCCCCACCACTCTTTCTTACGGAGTAATTTATTCAACATCTTCTCTCATTAGCCTCTCAATCTTCAAATTCTTCTCTATTTCTCTCCTTTGTCTCGATCTTCTCCCTTTCTCTCTAATTTTTTTTGGTTAATTTCATCATATCCGATCCAAATGGTAAATTCCTTAGATCGGAATAGATCTCCGTCGGCAGCTTCTCCATTATTTCTAATTTGTATTTACAATTTTCA